CCCCGGGCCCTGCGCCATCACCTCTAGCGTCACCGTCACCTCTATAATCGCCTCTGTCGTCAGCGTCACCTCTATCAACGACCGTGGCTGCATGTGTTCCCGACGCAAAGAAATCGTCATCGTCGCGGGATGTGATGTCGAACAAGAAGTCACCCTCGTCCCAATGCATGCAGGCCCTGCGAATGCAACCATCCGTCCTTTGTCGCCGAGTCCGAGGAGCAGAACCCACATCGCCATGTGTCCGTCCTCCCACACCTGCTCGTCCACGGCCGCCACGTCCCCGACCTCCGGCCCTGCGTTGCCTCGTGTCCGACTCCGCCACCCGACGCTCGGCTCCCATGCGGGAAACGGCAAGCATCCTCTCTCTGGCGAGGCTCAAGTCCTCCTCGGTCACCTTCGCAAGCGCACCGGTGCCTATGACGAGCTGCTGGTCCATGACCGCCTCGTCCTCCACGGCCTGCCAATAATGCACTCATTTCCCGAAGATGCCGGGCCTTTCTCCAACACTATCGTCGCACAACGAAGGTCGATCGAGTAGCCCGAGGTTCCAGTGGCATCGCACAAGCTTCTCTGCCGGGTGAACCTCCAACCTGTTGCGAGACTTCGAATGAATGAAGCTCCATCGAGACCAGGCTCTCTCGCACGGTGATGCGGTCACCCATATACGAAGGAGCGTGCCTGCAAACACGACCGTGTGAGGGAACTTCGCCTTCTTAGAGGACAAAAAACTGGCAGGGTGATCAAAGATATCCACAACTCGCCGCATGGTGAGCTCATCGAAAGGGGGCTCCCTCGTATGGAGTTTGGCGACCACTCGTTGGACCTCTCGGTGCTGCGGCGATCTTTCCGGGTAGCCGAACTGGACCAGGGCCTCGACCAAGGCCTGCTGCACCTCCGCATTGTCACACAGCGTCGCGTCCCGGAACTCTGGATCTAGCAGCATGGCTGTCGTGTGGGCTCGGGTCTTGAACATGGTGTGCCGCCTGAGGAACACCTCTACAATAGCGTCCTGCTGGTCCCGATCAATGTCACGACATACGGATAAACAAGATGCAATTGTCTCCTCGTAACATCGCAGAATCTTGCTGATCTGGCGTGTGTCGCCGTCCACCAACCTCAGCATGTCCATGATGGGCTCGAGCATCTTGCATAAAGCTCTCAAATCCTCTCACCATGGAGGGGAGCCGATACACGCAGTGACCTTCGCGGCGTCCTTGTGGATCTTGCTGGTCGACCAAACAGTCTCACGCCAGCGATCGTCGCCCACAACCTGTGTCAACTCTGCCCACAGTTCTACCAGCCTCGTCATCATGATGACGTTCGTGCCGAAACGCGTCTCCGCCGGTAGCTGAAGAGTCTTCTTCGAGTACGCCTCAAGAACCTCTCTCGCATGTCCATGGGGCTTGAAGAACCATGTAACCAGCCTCGCTTGAGAAATGCGGGAAGCCACCCAATCAATCCCGCCGATGTCCTCGAGAATGAGGTCCATGATGTGGGCGACGCAAGGAATCCAAAAGATGTGTTTCACGTTCTCATCTTTTTGGAATACCTCCATCGCCGCGACGTTCACCCCGGCGGAGTCCAACACGAACGTTGTGATGTCGCTCAATTCAATGTCCATGGACTTCACCCTTTTCAACCATGCATTCGCGAGGGCACTCGCGTCCTTTTTGCCGTGCATGACGTCGGTGGCCACATACGCTACCCCGATCTCTGTCCCAACATGGTAGTTGTACAACGTCTGACCACGGATGTTGGTCCAACCATCGGTCATGATTGTGCAACCGGTCTCTTTCAACGTATCAAGCACCAGTCGAACACACTTCTGGACCTCATCATCCAGCTCGTCCAAAAGGGTCGTGCGCAGCATGTGGTAGAAGGAAAGTCTAGGCGCGGGCGCCCCCGGAACCCCCGGCGGGATTTTAATCGTGAACATGCGTTTGAAGTTTTTTAGCTTCGTGCAGTTGAACGACATCCCGCTCTCGACGATGAACCGCATGATTTGCAGATGTCACGCGCGCTCCAAAGGGTCTGAATAATATGATGTGACGGCCTGCTGCCTGTAAGTGCCCCGGCATCGACCCGTCATGGCTCTCCCGCCGACGACCCCGGCATCCAACAACCCGCCAGGACTCATAGGTGCCGCGGTCTGGGCGACTGCAAGGTCGCGGATGCGTTGTAAAGGGTCTAACGATCCGGTCAACACGGGTGGAGGTTGTGGGGCAGACCGACCACCACCCGTCGTTGTCGGAATCGGGGTCGGCGATGAATCGGACACCGGAGCGGGGACCTCCTCGGCAGGCACCCCATGATCCGCTTGTTCCCCGAAACGAGGCACGAAGGCAGATTGTCGAGCATCTGTAGGTGCGTGTGACGGATCCGGGAGGGTGGTTGTGTGAGCGTGGTGGGCCACTACACGCTGCGCCGCTCGCGACGGTGGCGGTGGCAGCCAGGGGTGCTCCGACGAACCGCGGGGCGATGCCCCAGGCGCCACCGTAGTACCACCCCGTGCGGCATCAACCTGTCTACCACTACTGAACACAGGGGCGAACACTGCTGAACTGCCAGAACTCCCCCCCTACATGCGACTCTCAATAAAAGCACGTGCGCTCTCCTCGTCAAATGCCGCAAAAACCACACCATTACTCACAGGCGAGGGCTTGTTGGCTGGCGCGGAACGACCAACTTCCATATCGCGAGCACCTCGTATCCCACCCAGCGGTGCATACGGCGGGGCTGCCGGTCGTGTTACAACTGTTGTTGCACGACGCGCTACCGTGACTCGAATAGCTGGAACCCCAAAATTGGGCGATGCGACCGATCCTGAAGGGGCGGTGGCAGGAACCAGCGGCGGCATTGCGCCCTCGGGGAATCGAAGAGGTGGCCACTGCAAGCTCGGATGGCCTAGCAATAAGCTCTGCAACGTTTCTATGACCGACGCGAACTCCTTCGGACATTTTGTCATGTCCTTCGACCAGATCGCATACCATACAGCAGGAGTGGCTGCCTCACATCGGAACTTCTTGCTCTTCGATAAGTGTTCCTTGGCGGCTTTAGCGCCCCCACAAATCGAATACCCGCACAACCTGTACAGGCATCGACGACCGTTCTTCCTACCTGCCGCCGTCGACCCATCCAAATAACGCCCTCTGGCTACGAAATGCCACACCGGGTCGTCCCTCTTGCCGTCGACTTTCGGGTCGACCTTGAACGGCGAGTCAAACGTCTTCGTGTTATGACCTTGTCAGGCGGTTGTGAACGAGTCTATCGGATCCTTTCCCCGGTCCTGCGACATGATGAAAGCTGCTAGCCACGAGAAAAAGATGATGCCAGAACCCTCTGAGAATGTTGGCAACTCCCGACAGAGATCGAAGTCGGCGTCAGAGCGGCAAAGAAATGCTATGAAATAGGAAAAACCGATGAACGCAAAAGTGCAGAACACCTGGACATCAAAGGGAAAACACAAAACGACATGAAACGCAAAAACAAACAACCAAAGAACAACGATAAAAACTCAGAACTCGGAGGCAAAAAAAAAAAACGCCGATGTTCTCTGTCCCTTGTAATGATGAAAAAAAAAAAAAAAAAAGACAAACGGCACACACACAAAGACTTACAGAAACAAGCAGAATGTCAGAATCTCCGCAAGGCAACCATTCCACAGGCGGAACTTCCGAATCCAGGAGGGCAATCCCACTAGCTAGGTATGTGGATCAGTGTGACTGGTGTGGGACAGGTGGGGGACAGGTGGGTGGTAGAGGGAAAGAGGGAAAATAAACGAAAAAAAACAAGTGCAAGATTAACTCCACACACCATTTGCTAACTCCACACACCAACAAAAGAGAGAGAGAGGCATGGATCTTGGCAAGGCATCCATTCCAGAGGCAGAACTGCTGAGATCAGCACGGATTCCAGAATTTCCAGTCTGTATTCTGACGGGTCTTTCCAAAAAAAAAAAAAAAAAAAAAAAAAAAATTTGTCGCACACACACAGACGAACAAAACCCAGCACACTACAGTGATCTTGAGATGCCACATATAGAAGGGGGAAACGAGAAACCTGCATCTGAACGAGATTGCCCTAAGGGCTGGACCCCACTGGAAAAACCTTGGAAAAGTGCGTTATTTTGGAAATCGTGGAAAGGGCACTTCGAAGATTCCGCGGATGAAATGAAGGGGCCCCACCAAAGAGGCTGGAAAAGGCCCGGAAAAGTGACTTCTTCCAGACTTTTCCAAGCTCGTGCCATCATTGTGGACCAGCGAAGTCCATTGGGGTGGTATGGGCGCCCACGATGTCCGACTCGGGAGGTGTGGGTGGCGGCGTGTGGCCGCTGGAACGTAAGGTGCCACCTACCGGACACTCCATGAACCGAGGTCGTGCAAGGAAGTTTTCCAGACTTTTCCAGCCCACCCCCCCTACCCAGTCCGTTTGCCACAAAATAGTGTCGTTTTCTACAGAAAATGACACATTTCAGACCGAAACCACATGTGGAAACGTCAAAGTGCCATTTTCCAGGAACACTTTTCCAGACTGTGGGGTCCCGGGAAGCGGAAAACGCAACAAAAAAAACACTTTCCAGGAACCCGATTTCTTCCACTGGGGTCCGAGAAAAGCACTCGCGTCGCCCGTTTTCCAAGATTTTGGCCTGTGGGGTCAGGCCCTAAGACTCATCCCGCGTCTGTCACGGGGAGCAAGTGCACAAACAGGTTGAAATAGCCAACAATCTTCTTCCCAAAAAAAAAAAAAAAAAAGTGGGAAACGAGAAAACAGCATCT